ACTCCTCACAGATCTTGTGAAAAGTTTTGAAGGTCTAATACAGGCAAGCCTTGTGGTAGCTCATGAAATTGCTAAGCGTGGTAAGCAGTTCAGGGATGGAGAGTTTGTGCAGAGTTCCTTGGTGAAAGTGAATCATTCTGGCCATTTTGCAAAGCATGCCATATATAATTTGAATTATACATCGTATGTCCTGAACTTGTGCGGCCCTCAATACTATATACTGGCCCCCTAAATTTGCGCTCTGTTAGCTTAGGCATCTACTAGATAACTTTTTAAAATCATTTCAAAGCACCAATAGCACATGCATTTAAAGGAGCTATATGTAAGAAATCTAAAGCAAATAGTCGTAAAATCCTCCTAATATGTCACAGAGACTAAGGAATAATGTTCATATAACATACTGATCTCACCGACAACAATAGTACGGCCAGAATATTCGCATTTAAAAAAATATTTTACGGTCCGCAAATCATGTTTATGTTTTGAATTTGTGTTTTGGCCTTTTGCGCCACCCACCGCTGTCTACCAGTCACACAGTCAGTAGAGTCTCAGCATCAGTTACAGTTACGACTGAGCTACAGCAGCATGGCAAGCAGCATTAACAGTGTCCCGGTACATAGCATTAGCGGCCGGCTCCTCAGCTGTATCCCGGCAACAGCGTTAGCAGCAGAGAGAGACTTGCTCGAACGGTCCACTGGAAAACCGAAGATCATGGACGCGGCGACACGGCCCTGCCACGGCAGCCGCCCGTGGGCAAACAAATCAGTCTCCAGCGTGCCGCTGTCCAGCAACCTCGAATCTGTAGGGGAGGGGGGGCGGACACGACTCGCGGCAGTATTTTGAATTTGAGTGCAGTAACCGTTTTGGCCACATTCTTACATACAGCGCCTTTAAACAGGAATTAATGTAAGATAATGTGATGTGTCTCACACTTATATGACGTTGCGCAAAAAGCGACGAATAGGTTTCCCGAAGGTTTTTCAATTTACATTAAATTGAATTACATTTTTTAGCGAGAGTTTGCCTCTTTATTGGGAAATGGGTATGCACAACATACTAATACAGTCAATTAAAGATTCATTTATAACTTTTTTGCACAGGCCCAGTTATATTATAGAATATTGCAATAATAATGTGAGGTTATCACAAAACCCTTCAGCACACCATTTGAAATCCACTGCTCTAAGTAAATGACTCGCTTTACTAGATTTATGTTAGTGACAAACTTGAAATGAGCAGCTATGTTCTGTTTAATAAATAACAAAAATGCTTGTGGGTGATGTAGATGTGACATTATGTGTTTTGTTCAGATTCAGAGACTTCTGGGATTTTCATTCCCCCCTGTGGTTGGTTGTCACATAATATAAGATAATAATATGAAAACACTTAGCTCGGGCATGATAAGCTGATAGATAATAGGGAAACCGACAGCATGGTTTCATCTGAAGGAGGAGAAATAGGTGCTGATGTGTTCAGCTCCACTGACTGTGTGCAGGCATCAGCAGGAGGACTGGGAAAGAGAGAAACATGATTAGACTCTACCAGCATTATCCCATGATGAAGCTTAGTGATATCACAGCATGACAGTGGAGAAACTACTCAGAGGGTATTTTCTATTTTCTCATCATCTCATTTCGAGGTTTAGCACATGCTGTACCTCTGTGAGAGTCCATAAATGGAAAACAGGTCAAGTATTTTTCATTATATGTCTCACATCATATATTTGTTCATACATCGCATCTGAGGAAACAAGGGCTCTGTTGGCCTGGAATCAAATCCACCGAGAATAATCTCACCTGTCTCTCTTTTACTGTCTCATCCTTTCTGTTTTCTTAGTGAGAAAAATATCCTGTTTTATATAGACATTATGTCAAAGGTATACATATAGATAAGTATTTTGGGGATTTACAAATTTCCTGGTTTTTATTCAACCCCATCACTAGACAAAAATGTTGACGCTGTACGTTTCTGCAAACTATACGTTACATTTGTACATTATTATGTAGCGGATACATGGAAATGTATGTTTCGTTACATTTCAACAATGCTGTGGTTAATGTCTGGTTAGGTTTAGGCACAAAAAGCACTTGGTCATGGTTAGGACATGATGTTTGGGCTTAAAATAAAAAGAGTTTTTGTAGGACAGTCATTGCTGAAGAAGCTGTCAGTGTCTCAGTAAGAGACAATCACTTGTCATGGCATTATTCTGGCTGAAAAAGTAGTGATGTCTTGGTTAAAGACAATCCCTTTTTGTGGCACTGTCCCCAGTGGAAAAACTGTGCCATGTCACTAAAAACACCCAAGTTTGGTGGCAGGCATAATGTTTATGATATTCTCTGCCTGATTTTAGTGTGCCAGCATTCTTACATTTGATTGGTGATTAGCACTGAGCAGAGTACAGCTGAGGCTGATAGGAAAGACAGTTTTGCAGGTATTTGGCCACAAATTAAACATTTGACCTGATGGTAAAGCTGATGATGAAGCTTCATGTCAGATCATCAAAGTTATGCAGCTCATCCAGAGGAGAACATGAATGTCTGCACTGGATTTCATGGCAATCTAACCAAAACTCCATGGTAGTGGCACTACAGCATAGTTGCTTAGGAACATTTTGTGTGGCCCTCTGAATATGACATGAAATGCATAAATTATATTTTAATCATCCCCAGTACGTTTCAATACTTTCAGTTCCATTTGCTTAATTTATACACGACTGTGTCAAACTGCGCCACCCTGACATGCAACTATCAGGTAATGGAGGACAACTTGTTGACAGCTACTAGTTGCTTAGAGGCACCTTGTGGGTGTCAGGGAAGTTTCATTCTGTCATCAATGTTAGTGCTGTTAGCTAAATTTAGCAATTTAAGCAGTGCAATGTGGAGATGAGACTGAAAAGCCACCACTTTATTGGACCTCAGGGGACAGATAAAGTTATCTGCAAAGGTAAACTGGGTGCTCAATGCCAACGAGACTTATCTACCCAACAGCCACTCCTCACAGATCTTGTGAAAAGTTTTGAAGGTCTAATACAGGCAAGCCTTTTACTGTCTCATCTTTTCTGTTTTCTTAGTGAGAAAAATATCCTGTTTTATATAGACATTATGTCAAAGGTATACATATAGATAAGTATTTTGGGGATTTACAAAAAGCTGCTGGAAACAACAGTGATGACTGTAAAAAAAAAAAAACAGGTGTTTTTCATGGTACTATCCTGGCAGGAAATGTAGCAATGTCTCAGTAAAAAACAATCGCTTTTTGTGGGGCTATCCCCAGTGAAAAAACAGTAAAAGGTTGCTAAAATCACCCACGTCTGGCAACTAAAAAGCTGCTGGAAACACATCAAAAAATGCCCAAAAAACCCACATTTGTTGGCTAAAACGTCAGCTCATATACCACATCACTATAGAGATGCTGATATGAGACATATCAAATGTACACAAATGTAACATAATCATGGTTGGAAGAAAAGTACAATGCTAATATTTTCTTCTGGTGACTGTGTTATTTTAGTCCAATATACATCTGACTATTGTGCTTTCACTCAAATGCAGACTCACAACTAAAATCAGTTTATTTCAGTTTGACATAATATAAATTTCCTCTTGTTGTAATGCTCATCTGGACACCATAAAAGCAACAGGTAAAAAGGATAAAAACCTATTTGTGAAATACATTTTCACTTCAAAAATGTTCTTTTTTTAACTCTCAAAGTTACTTTCTGACTTGAAATAAGAAGCAGCTACAACAACAAGTCATCTGTTCTAAAATTTTATTATTCTGATGCTGCATGGGTGTTTTCTAACACAACTTACCCTGCAACAGATCTCGCTTTGTTCGCTGGCTGCTGCAGCCACTGCGGGTGAAACAACACATCCATGACTTCTTGTAGAGTTGAAATCAGCTACAGAGGCAAATGAAATCTAAAGTTACACAGCCAAACATTCAAGGATATTTTTTACATCAGATAATATGCAAATAAGACAATGAGAGAAAAAGACTTGACCTTAACAGTGGTTTACAAAACAATCTTCAATCCAAGTGCAGTCACCAGAGGAAAATGTTGGCCTTGTGTCTGCATTCAAGGATACATCTGTACATTTTATCTCAAATCAATGTTTGCAATGTGATGTATAGCTGACTTTGTCATCAGGAGGTTGTTGGGATGGTGGATGATGTAAAACTAAGGTGTGATGATTGCAAAGCTGTAGACCACTGTTGGAGACTGTCAAAAACAAAACTGGTTGTTTTTTTAGCAAGACATCAGTGCCATTTCCAGCCGCAATAGTGTCACCAAACACAGGTATTTTAAACCAAAACATGATTTTTTTTTTCCCAACTGTAACTAAACTCATTTTGGGTTTGGGATTAGTACATTATTTTGACCTTTAATGGTCATTACATCACAGTAAAACATAAAGATTGGTTACATTTTCAAGTCTAAAATCGAACTTTTGAAGCTTCTTTAGTCATAAAGTTGCAGTAACAGTTGGAGCTTCAGTTTCAGGAGCTGGAGTTTCAGCATACTAATGGAGAACATCCAAACGTGCAAAGTCACCACAACTTTATTTTATTACTGTGCAGACACAGATACTTGGCTCTTGTTCACAGGTTTTCACACGACAAGCTTTTCCTTGTCTTCTGGGCCCCTCCATATGTTAATCTGGGTGACTGTACATCCAATTTAAACACCATCCATTGAGAGGATATATGAGGCCGATTTTAACAATGGCTTCACAGTGCAGCGGGCTGCTTTGCATCAGGGTGTGAGTGCAGACTCAGAGATCACCCTTGTTGTCCCTGCGGCCGGGGTGAAGCAGATGGGGAGAGGAACAATGGCTCGGGCCCATGCGGAGGGCGGCAGTGACTGACACAGCCACTGAAGCTCCAAAGAATGCCTGGAGCCGAGCCAGAGCCATGAACCTCACTGCCACTGCATGCCCTTCCCATCCCCACCCCACCTGACCCTCCTCATGTCCCATGGTGCCCTGGGACTGAGGGGATGACACCTTCAAAGACGGCGCCTGCACGTCAGAAACCATCCTGAAGGAGCAGCAGAGCTGGGTGTTGGCACTGTGGGCTGTGGACTGGCTTGAAGAGGACTACTGAGTAGATAGACAGAGGTCAACCCCACCCAACCTCAGCAACTACTAGCATGGCTACAGCGAGCACCTCAGGGCAGAGCACCTTCGGACTCGGAAGGAAAAAGAAGACCCCTGGTCTCATGGATCAGATTACCAAGTTCTTTGGAGGAGACAAAAAGAAAAGGAGCAAGGTGAGCATCCATGTATCTGCAAGTAAAGGGACAGTTCAGAGGGGTTTTTTGTTCCCAGTTGAACTTCATGGCTCCCAGTGCCTCTTAAAACTTTAACTTAATGTAAAAAAAACCTCGTTATTACATCTTTGTTGAACTTAGAAACATTTGTTAGTCAATGGGGCTAAAACCAAGACTATGAAATTTCAGCTCCTCCTTATATTACTTATTTTTAAGGATTATTTTGTTGCTGTCCTGTGAGGTGGAAAAACAGCCTCATTTCGAGCTTTGCGACAATAATTTTTTTTAAAATTATCCACTGGGTTTGTAAAAGTTTTAGTAAAGTTTAAGATGGAGGAGAATTTACTCACCGCATTTACACCCAAAAAAATGGAGATGCACGGTTTTCAGTGGATGGTATGTCTCTAATCTCCAGTTTGTCTCTAGAGCTTTGAGGAAACTTTTTTTTTTTTTTAAGAAAAATATAAATCTAAATTGAACTGGACTTTATACACTCTCAGTTACAGTAACTCCCTGCAGGAGCAGTTACAAGAAATATACATTTCTGAGTTTGGTTTAAACTTTTTTCTGGCTTTGAGATTTTTTTCCTTTTTGACAAATTAGCTTTTCCTCAAGTTTTATCTTCATCTTTCAAACGCTTGATTTAAAACTTAAATACTTAAAATCATTAAAATGTAGTTTGTTTTTTTAATTTTATATACTTTATTAATCCCCCTGAGGGGAAATTCAATTTTTTTCACTCTTTTTGTCAGTAACACACAGGTCCGAAAGACACACACATGCACAAACAGGACCTATACATGCACAAAGTGGAGAGATGTCAGGGTGAGGGGGGCTGCCTTGGTCAGGCGCCCCAGGCAGTTGGGGGGGTTGGTGCCTTGCTCAAGGACGCCTCGGAAGTGCCGAGGAGGTGAACTGGTACCTCTCCAGCCACCAGTCCACGCTCCATAGTTGGTCCGGACGGGGATTAGAACAGACAAGCCTCCGGTTCCCAACCCAAGTCCCTATGGACTGAGCTACTGCCGCCCAATTATTATTTGGACCGTTGATTGGAACCAAATCGTTTTAGTAGCTGCAATTGTCTAGATTATGAATTTCAATGTGACCCTTCAGTGATAGAGATGTTTTACATGAACATATTATATTTATAATTGTTGCAAAATTACCATAATATACCATTATTTTATTGCTATTAACCAGAAAAATGTTTCTTAAAGCTTTATCTTATTAATTTTCTTAACTGCAGTTATTTACAACAGTTGTTGAATATTTGGTTACTAAGAACTACTAATGTTTTCAATATCCCTATTTTTAATTAATCTGGGAAGTTTTAAGACAACAGTTTTTAACAGTAAAAAAGCTGCAGAGTGCATAATAGAGCCATCAAAAAAAATTCCAGGCTAATTGTCTTCAAATCCTAAAAATACGCCCCTGTTCTTCAGTTCAGATCTTTCCAAAAACTATTTTATCTGAGTTTAACTTCTTTCAGTCTCACTTCCTATCTGCTCTGGACTCTGCTGTCATTTTGACTCCTCCAAAGCGGCCATAAACTTACACGGCACATGAGGTTAAATAAATAATGTATCTACCCATATAACTTAAGAAAAATCTACAGTAGATGCACTGCCACCACTGTGCAGGTTAAATTTAGTTTGTAATTACAGCTTTGTCCTGAGCTGCAGAAAGACAAAACCTCCTTCAGGTTTAAGACTGAACAGTGTGATGGGAGGAGACCTCAGGAGTCGGAGCTGCTCTCATATGACCCGTTTATCTGAAATTCAAAGGTTGCAGATTTAGTGGGTTTTTATGCATTGCTATTGTTTGTGCTCAGATATTGTTACAGGCTTTTTATATGTGTTAGTGCCCAAAGAAAACTAGAATCTGTAGGCTGATTGGCAAAGGTTTCTTCTAAGGTTTAAGTTGCTGTATTTACATAGAAACAAGTGACAGAAAATACACATTAATTAGGATAAAGAGACTTTTTTTTTTTTTTTTGGAGTTTTTTTTGTCAGACTGCTCAGAAACGCTCAGATATGTTCTGGAGGTTGTGTTATCAACAGTGTGTCAGCCAGCTGCACCTGGTGGTATCACACTGTAGTCGACTACTCCATCCTTCACTCTCTTACTGTATATCATTCATGCTATTTCCTTTCAGTATTTTAATTGTCTGTAATTGATATCCATTTGCACATTTCCCAAATGTAGAACATGATTATAGTCCTTTCCTGTACATTGTGGGACTTGACGCCCAGCAGGGCTTTGAAACTACTATAATAACTGTAATTATAACATTAGGAGGGATGGTGCAGCTGGACTGTCTCCTCGAGCTCATGCCAAACTACTCTATCATGCACTTACTGCATTAAAAGACTTAAAGATCTAAGAACCTGATGCCATTTGATTTGATTTGACAGTGACATCACTCAATCTTGTGGTAACATCACTATATAAACACATGCAGTTATATGACCTCTGTTGCTCCTCACAGGGGTCGTTCCGAGGTCACCTGGCCTCCTCACCCCAGCAATCCTCTGCTCGCCGCCGGACCAATGAAAATGCTGTGGTGCATTTCTTCAGGAGCTTTGTAAGTTTCATACATCATATCATAGATCATATATGCATGCTTTACATACCAATAACCATGTTCATCAAGTCATGTTTGCTAACATCCTGAGTTTATAAGCTCAACAGAGTCTTATGTGTTATTCTAAGGCTGCTGTGAGTTGCATAAGCCAGAACACAAAACAAACCAATTTCCTCCAATTTCTACTGTGTGAGTGTTTAAATGTCTTCTTTTGATTTACTTTGGCTCCAACTCCTGGCATCAATAGCGTGGCAGCGTTTCAAACTGTTTCTCAGCTTCCTCTGATTACAAAGCTGCGTGACTCCTTCATTTACATACTGATTTAAAGACAGGAATTGGGGGAAATTTCTATCAGCAGCTCAATCATTTGTTTAGTCGAAAACAGTGTTTGTTGTCCTGTTTGCAATCAGTCATTCTTTTGTTGTTGCTTGGTGTCTCTCAGGTTTCCTCTCCTCGTCCTAAATCCAGGGTGAGTCTCATTTATTTCATCTGTTTTGTTGATTATTCCAGAGGTGTAGCTGCAGAGTGAAGATGCAGCGATGCATTAATCATTGACTTCTGATCACTTTTTAGATTTCCCTGTTCTCCATCATATTCCTCAGTGTCAAATGCAACAGCTGCATCTTTTTTCTTTTCGAAGGCATTTTGTTTTAAGCTATTTATTTAATATCCACTCAGTATTTATTTGATACCTTTGAACAATTACAGTGTGTGGGATTTTATAACTTCCCTCAATGGATCTGACCTGAAGACACTTTAGACAACTGATAAACTGCACTATTACTCACCAGCATTGTCACATTGTTTTACAAGAAAAACTTAATGCAATAAAAATCATTTAAATTCCATATTAACCTATATTTACTAAGCTAAAACAGTATGTGAGATTTTTTAGTCTGTCCAAAATCTTAGTATGAAACCAATAGTACGTGAATAACATACAATTTCCAGTGAAATATTACAGTATCTAAACACTGAACACTATGCCGGCGTAAATATCCCACAATGCAGTGCACTAGAGGAACATTTATAATAGACAGCAACTAAGACAGCTCTGTAATGTCAATTTAAGTAATAGTGTGTAAAGATTGCACTTTGTCAGGCGTAATATCTTTGAAATATTTTTAAATGGCCATAGACCCTAAGTCAGGATGGGTTACCATGGTTACGCATCTCCAACCTGCAAGGCAGCTCTCAAGAAGTGACGTGGTAATTACGGCTCAGTGCATAGTGTTGTTCATTTACACAAACAATAGCACACATGTAGAGTATGTGGTACATTGTATGTGGTTTCAGATGGTCTACAGCCACACTAGCAGTGCACTGAGCATGTAAAATGCTACTGTTACCATTCTAACATGTTCACAATGACAGTGCTGTCATGCTAGTGTTTTGCAGGTTTAATGCATCTTAGTTTTCATCTTAAATAAATGTTAGCATGTTAACATTTGTTGATAAGCGCTAAACATTAGTTTAGCTATTTAGCACACAATTGACTGGAATGTCATTAGTTTAGCTGGTGTTTAGTTTAGTTTAGTTTACTTTAGTTTAGTTTAATTTAGTTTTATGCACAATTAAAACACAAAAAGGCAAGAAAAATGAATAACGAAATACAGTCCAGGGAGAGGCAATAAACCCAGAGGGCTTATTTGAAGCCTCCACCTAATAAAAGTTTGACAAAGTTATTGAGAATTACAGAAAGATAAAGAATAATACATAAAATTATACAAGTGATAACAAACTGCTAATAGCAAAATATGTTTGATTGCAACAACAAAAAACAGCAATAACAGTATCCATTTAAGAGCAGAAAATGTGAGTATGTGGCATGTAAGTCGATGTTAGTGTAATTAGGCGTGCGTACATTGGTTTATTTCTTTGTAAAAAAAAACAAAAACTTTTGGACAAATTAAAATTTATACTGATGATGGCGCTAGAGGAAAGCTAGTTTTAAGATTAATAGGATGTAGGTTCCTATAGGGGACATAAATGCACAACTGTAATATTAGTCCTTCTTGTAAATGTGGTGACTTTTCACTTAATAATTGAACACTTCTTCCTGTTGGTGAAACTCAAATAAAAGTCAGGAAATCAACAAAGTCAGTAGGGTTTATCCTCTGGTGACCATGAATATCTACACCAAATTTCATTGCAATCCATTCTAAAGTTGTGAAGATAATTCACACAGCTAGTATGGCTAAAAATTCTACACATAGTGGCTGCAAGATGTAGACGGAGGATTTTTAAATTGACCTACGTGATCTCATCCCTACCTATCATGTTTTGATGTTTGGGCAGAAGCCCCCAGCATCATTATAATGACACCAAGGGCAGCCTTTTGTATTGTATGCAAGAGGTTGGCGGAAAGTCACGTGGGTCGACTCACGTGACTACTAAGAGGTTAGGTTAGGTTTAGGCAACAAAACTACTTGGTCAGGGTTTGGAAAAGATTGTGATTGATGTTAGTCCTGTGGGTCGACTCACATAACTTCCGACTGCTGTGACAAAATAACTCATTGTTGACTTTTATTTTCACATGGACATGAACACGTCTGCTGGGTCAAAGCCCTGTGCTTGTTGCATCATCTGACCAGGCTAGAATAAAGGATAACTTTTGTGTATTGTAATGATTTTAATGTTATTGTCATGCGTTCTATGCGATTGACCAAAGGCTGATATTAAACTTTATGATGTAAATGCATGTGTTACATGAGTGGGTCCTAACTTGTGGCTAGAGACCCCTCTTATGGGTCAATCTGAGGGGTCACGAGATACAGAGCAAATCAGCTGCATGAAGTATTTACCTGTCACCAGTAGAAGTTTCCCACCACGTCACTGTAAATCTTGCCATCTAATAGCCTATCTGTAAATGGAGGATTCTCCAATGTGTTGAGGTGGATGCAGGTTCCACTGTACTCTCACTATATCTCATTATCTCATCATGTTACCATCTGTTTCTTTTTCATGGCCAGTGGAGAGACGTCTTGGGCTTGGTACGTCACACAGTCTTCCCTTCTCAAATCATCCAAAAGCCAAACTGCTGGCTGCACCTGTCTGCGTGTGTGTGTGCGCAATGATCCCATTTAAATCTGTCTGTAGAGAGCTCCTTCGCAATGTGTCTTTTGTCTGCAGCACACCTGTTACCTAACCTCCACGCTGGTCCTTTCTCTTTCTCGCTGTGTGTGTTTCACTGCTTTCCTCCTCGAAGAGAAATATCTTTTATATCTGTACATGTGGAATCAAGACATATTCAAAGGCAAAGCTGATTGACAAGCATCTACATACAGTAGCTGAAAGGCAAAGCTCACTCCTAAAGGGTGCCACAGAAAATCATTTTAATTCACTGGCTGATCAGTTGAAAAGATTGATTTATTCAAAGCATTGGCTCATTGGTAAATTTATCACATTTCAATAAGTTCTTCTTTGCTTCAATCCAGAGCGACTCGCTGCTTCTGGATGACTTTGAAACTGCTCAACTATTTATGAACCACAACCGGTAAACATTTTCTCTTAGGACCTCTTGGCCTGAATCACCCTCCTCCTCGTCCTCTTCCTCCTCCTCTTCCACACCTCTAGTTCTCTGTAACACCTCCATCCCCTTAGTGCCAGAGATGACTCTCCGATCCATCTGTTTTGGCTTCTCACCATCTTTGTGTCTCTTCATCTGTCAGATGTCCCTGGACAGCCGTAATATCTTTCTGTCATTTGATGGTGATGATTCACTCATGTCTTCTGTGGCTGTCCGTTCAACATTGACCTTACCATGTCATTGTCATCCATTTTCTTTCCCCTGAAGGTTGCTATTATCTGGTCTTGTCACATGATGACATTTTTCCCCGCGTCTCTGACATGTTATTCTCTCACAATAACAGATCGGAGAACAGGGACAACTATTTCTTCCACGTCACACTGCTGCTGTCGCAGAGAAAACACATATCTGCAGTTTTGTTGTTTCCCCTCATCTTACCAGCGAAAATATTGAAACTATTTTATGTCCTTTAAAGGTCCATTGTGTAGGATTTAGGGGGATATAATAGGCATGCTTTCTTTAGTGTATGATCACCTGGGAATAAGAATCGTTGTTTCTATTTATTCCTTTTGCTCACATTGAAAGCGCTGCAATGCACGAGGAACGGCTTTCACAGGGTTGCAATGAGGATTTGTTTATGTGATACCTTGTCATTTCATCACAAAAACCTAAATAAGGTGGCAGGTGGTTCGAGGGAGTTCACAGGGAGCGTAATATGTCTGGTAAGCGGTGGTTCCATCTCCAGACTGACATCTCTGTGCACACAGCTGATAGGTGTGTGGTTTGTTTATGTGACGTAATAGAGATCCATATCTAACAAATTCCATGTGGTCAGAGAGCATCCAATGTAATGCAATGTGGTGTGATAGGCAGACGCTTGCTTGCTGTAAGGACACAGTGTTAGAATAAGCCATTTATATCTACATAGGGAGCAGGTCCTCATCCTCGGCGTTCACCCTGGCTCTAGATAGGGCCACTGTTTTCGCTAATTAGCAGCCCATCGGCAACAAGCAGTGTTATTCACTATTTTTGCTGGGTTAAATCACCTGACCTGTTTGTTTCGAGAGAGGAAGAGACATCTGTGGATTATTTGGCCGCGTGATAAAAACCTCTTGAACAATGAACACTAAAGGGATTCTACCAGGAGACATTTTAGGTAGTTGCAATCTGCAGTCCTAACCGCTAGAAGTTAAATCCCCCTAAATCCTACACACTGATTCGATTAACTTGTTTATAATTTTTAAAGTTATATAAGTACAAAAACCTGTCATTAGTCCACCTTAATTGTCTGCAAGGGAAATTTAGCCTGTAGCAAAGTGCATAAAAACTCACTGAAAACAGAGATCCAAATACCAAATGGTCGAGCCCAATGAAAGTAAAGAGAATAAATGGTAAACACAGATATACATGTGCACAAGTGCAAAACTTTGAGCACTGATAAGGAACTATGCCATCTGTTCTTCATTTATGAAGGACTTGATATTTGTGGATATGTGTTTTTTGTCCAACAGCAATGATTGTGTCCTCTATAATATCTGCAAACAGTTGTTTTTGTTAAAGTGGTGGGACATTGCTAATGCTCTGAGGTGAAACGTGTCTCATCTCGTAAAAAGAGAAAGGCCATCAATGCAAAATCAATTAAAGGTCTGGTTAAAGGTTACACAGTGACAGAGCAGCAGGTCTCCAACTGTGCTTATAGAGCGTCTTTTTCTAGGCCTCGTCGCCGCGTGCTGAGAGCACAAAGTCACCGGTCAGAAGACGCAGAGACCAAAGCACACTCTCCAGGATCTTCAACCTGGTGAGCTTTACCACACGTTAGCCTCCTTGTCTGACTCAACATTTCCTCTCTCTATCTGTAAACTAGGCTTCATAAACACTGTTTCCTGTCTGTTTGCCCAAATGCAACAGTGATGCTCTCACCCGAGATCAGTGAGTAAGAAATCAATACAGTATGATTCATTTCAGTTTCACTCATCTTCATCCATCAACACATGTTCACAGCAGCCTCTCATCGTAATAATCTAACAGGCTTCAAGGGAAACGTAGGTATTTTTTTAAACCTGGACTCTTTCTACGTATGTTTTGTGTCTAAGTGACAAATGGAGACATCATTTTTGAAACTGGTTCAGTATTGAGAGTGTCGCACCTGCGCAAAAATTGCTGCAATGTAATCCCTATGGGCTATTGAGTCAATTTACATCCACTGAAAGTGATTTTTTTTGGTGACTGACAGGCCCAGATTATTATTACAAGTGTCAGACAATTTATGGAAAGAACCCAACAGAGAAGTAAAACATTTTTCCATAAATTTGGCAGATCTGTTTGTTATTGTGACCAAGTCCCATTCAAGGAAAAGTCTCGTTTTGAAATCTCACATGAGGCGATGTGTTGCAGGAAAAACAACGGTGGTAGCGGGTAGCAAGAGGAGTTTGTTGTGTTTGATTTGAGAAAGTGTATCTTACTCTTATCTAAATGATTTTCCATAATGTTGTCAGACACTTCTGGGAGCAATCTGTCAGTGGCAAGAATGAGCACTTCTAGCCCTTTCTGTTGTCTCCATTAGTCACTTAGACACAAAACTTGGGAAAATAGGGTCCAGGTTAAGAATATCAATGTTTTCCTTTAAGGGCAACATTTTCATTTTTAGAGTGCCACAACATGTGAACTAAAGTATTAAAATTCATGCATATAATCTTTGATTATTTTTCTGCAAATGCCCTCTACCTCAAATTTTCTGAGGGTAAGTGTGGATAATCTTATTGAATCCCAATTAATGTGAAGTATTCGACAATCACTTTCAGCACTGAAACTACATCACTCCAGATCACTCTTATAGATGCTGTCTCTAGGGATAGAAATGTTTTTTTTCTCAACCTCCTCATCATCCTCCTTCTTCTCCTTCTCTTCAGGGAGATACCAAGTCCCGTCCACCCCCTAAACGCTGGAGCACCATCTTCTAAGCTCTCCGCCGAGGACCAAACCACAGATCCAACACCAATGGGACAAGACAAAAGTGGGGAACAAGATCTGCAAGTGGCGGCGTCACAACCTCAAGAAATGTTAATCCACTAACACAAGGCTTCCTGTATGTTTTTGTCAGAGTATGAAATCCACTCTCCAGGGATGTAGGTGGTCACTGGGCCTTTTTTGTTTTAATCCTAGATATCTTGTCTAGCTGTTTATAAGAGGTTTGGTCGTGCTTTTAGTAAAATATCTTACTGTAAAAATCACCCATTTGAGTATCTTGGTCTGATGGTGCTAGTGTCTGCTGTCTGCAGGTTTGTTCATGGCAGATGTTTTTGTATTTGTCTCCCGTCATCTGCATTTTGTATGAGTGATGCTTTGTGTATCCTGCTGAAAAAAAAAGACTTACACACCAAACATACGCTTGTTTTTGTTTCACATGTGAAATCCAGACGGAGAGTGGTCCTGTTTGTGGCTGAGTGAAATGTATGTTGCAAAGCATTTGAAAACACACCTGGAAACCTCCAGTATATATGAGTAGTACGGACTCTAATATAGTTTTGATGTAACAGTTTTTCTTTCATTATGGTTCAGTGTAATTAATAAACATGTACAGTATGATGTTTTTCCAAAAATAGAATAAAATGCCCTTTTCAGATGCACTGTTACATAACTAAAGAATGTCCTAAAAACAACTGGTCTGCTCTCTTTTCTATAGTAGCTTTGTATGGATCTCATTTATTGCGAGTTATCTGTTTGCATCTTAAATTAAGTTTGAACTTTAAATGTTATTTGTGTTTATCTTAGATGATGACAGACAACAGTTTCTTTTATCTGATGGTGAGATAGTAAGTGGTTCAAAGGTTTAAGGCGGAAGCACAGAGTTGGTGAGGAGCACCGAAGGACAGCATGTTGATTTCAATGTTCTGACGCATAATTTGTTGATTTCATTTTGTTCATAATAAATGACACTGCCACTCTCATGTGTACATGCTGTGTTTCACTTTAATGAATAGTTAAAAGAACTGTAAAGGTGTTTTTGTTTTGTTGCCAACATGTGGTGGTGCTACAGTGTTTTGTTTCCTCTTAATGTAAAACTTACTTTTAAATGTGCAGCCTAACTGGATGTTACGTCCTCTCTCAGTTATTAAATGTTTAAAAATCTGACAATTGTGTTGTGATTATTAAATGTATATATTTTACTCATTATAAGGGTCCTGACACATGCTGTCAGTCACAGTCAATGTTTGGCCATTAGTGAACATCTGTTGCCCTAGTAACTGTGTGCAGTATGTCCCACATCGCTGGCACTAGTCGGCCTAAGGTTCACACTACACAATATCAGCCCGACACAGCGGTGTATGGTGTCGGCTCTGATCGTGGACGACAATGAGTGTCGTACATTGTTTCATCTCATGTAATGTGTTATAGTAGACAACAACCAACTGGGACTGGTCTGGGACGCCTCATGACGTTCCAAAAGAAAGTCTAGCATGTTTGGTCATTCATGACTGCTCCCGTCACAGCCATCACTTTGACCAATAGGAACACAAAGCGATCTGCTGCCGTAGATAACTGTATGACAACACCCAGCCTTTTAGATATTTCTTTTAGGGGTGTTACCATGACAGAGTAAAAAGGGAAAATTGATGGCATGAAACAGCAGACGCACTTTGTCAACCTGCGGAGTACTGCCATTAGCATCAAGCTAGCGAACAATATTATTTCTTCATAAAGGAGGATATAAAGTAATAAAATGAAAAAATAGTGGTCTTTACTCACCACAACTGCAGAGGCTGAGCTTCATTTGAAACAGACTACATTATAAATGGGCTGTTATTTATTATTATATATATTATATCTATACTTTTTATCCGCTCCCATTTGCCTTGATAAAGTTAATGAATTTCAAACTCAACACTTCCTGTATCTGTATAAAATTAAAAGCCCCTTATAACTTCGGTTGAGAGAATCCCTTCATTTTCTAAAAAGGCTTTTATTGTGAAAGATTTGCAGGATGTAGCTCAAATGTAGCTCCTGCCCTCTGGTGGCACTTTTTTACATTACTACAACAACATTTCGGCTGGCACATGAACAGACACAGTGACTGAAATAATAGTGATAACAATAAAAAATAGGATAAGAATAATCTGATGACATCACACACGTTGTGAAAGACGACCGGGGATGATTGGTGTGGACCATCGTTTAGTCACGACACGATTTTATGACTCCACAATCCAGGCTTTCTGCCAAGAAGTGAGGAGATAATACCACTCTCTCACTCACTCTAAATAGTATGTATTTGGAGCCAGTGGACAGTTAGCTTTGCTTACCATAAAGATTAGAAAGACAGCATCTCTAAAACTCACTAATTATCCCATTACATCTTGTTTCTTTAAGCTGTAAAAAACACAAACATGTAACAAAGTGTAAAAATGAATGTGTTGATTTACAGGGAGAATGTGCCAAAGTAGAGCTGGGCTGGTTGTTTTCCTGCTTCCAGCTCCATTATACAACACAGACTTGAGAGGTACCAACCTTCTCTTAACAAGCATATTTCCCAAAATCTCAAACTATTCCTTTAATATTACAAAACAAAATTTAAAAAGTGCCACTCCTCTTTTTTTTTATCTTAATGTGCAGGTATGACAGCTATAAATTTTACCTTAGAGGCTAGCTTAGATGTTACCCTGATGTTTGTAAAAAAGGGAAAAACGCCAGCACTCTCAAATGCCATTTAAGTAAGTTTAATCAACCAGCTTGGATGGCGGTACCAGTACACAGCAGACGTTTCGACAGAAAGTCTTCTCCCACACTGAAGAAGAAGTTTCTGTCGAAATGTCTGTTGTGTACTGGTACCGCCATCCAAGCTGGTTGATTAAACTTACTAAAAGGACATTTGAGAGTGCTGGCGTTTTTCCCTTTTTCACTGCTTTTGGCCATGCACCTTACGAGTGTATTTATTTTGAGAGTGCTTGCTTGTTCCTACGTGATTTTTTACCCTGATGTTTGTAACCATGACGATGGCGGAGACTGCAACATAATGTCCCAAATGCCCCAAAAGATCATTTGTGTATCCATTATTCACCCCAAGTAACATTGAATTTGTGTTCTTGCATGCCCCCACGGTGAACGAAGACTAAAAAAATTGAAAAAACTCTTGATTAATTGAAGTCATAGGGGGACACATTCAACAACAGCGAAACTATATCAAAACATCTGTTTACAAACTCCCACACAACTTCTGCAGATTATTTCAAGCCTCATTTATCCAGTCATATGCTCAGTACTTCCCAAACAGACGACCCTTTCTGACAGAGAACCCAAAGGAAAGTGAAAATTAATTATCCCTACTTCAAAGCCAGACTCCATTGACAAAGACAATAATTTTATCTAATTGAACACAAGAGCTGCTGCCTCAATCAGTTTGTTTGTTTATGTTATTGACTGACTTTGGTGTTTTTAAAGGTTAATTTGATTCACCACAGTCAACAAACAGCACAAAATAACTGATCAAGGCAGTTTTACATCAGCAGCTCCTGTGTTCAATGAGGTAAAACTACTGCTTTCGTCAGAGTCTTGCTCTGATAAGTGCATAGGTAAACTTTACTCGAATAGAGTGTTTGGAAAGTACCAAGCACACGACTGGACAAATGAGAGTTGGATTATACCGCATGAGTTGTGAGAGTTTTTACACTGATGTTTTGATATAGCTTCAAGAATTTTCTCAGTTTTCAGATTCTTTATTTACTGAAAGCATGCAAGAAAATCAACATTTTGAATGTTTTCTTCACAAATTCAACGTAACATGGGTGAGGAACTGATATATAAATGGCAGTTGAGGGGTGATGTATTCCTTCAACCAGCTTCAAGCTTTGCTGAGCAGCAAAATAACTGAGGAGTGAAATAACAAAGTGTGTACTGTATTAGCCCCTAATTCAACCCATGATTCATAACTGAAGACTCCCACATGCCCTTGAAACACCCTCTGGGGGCCAATCATCTATCTCAGACAGTAATCCCAATATCAAAGTGTTCTATACGGACTACGGAAAGCAAGATCTCAACTACACGGAGCAGTACATTTTGTCCTGCAGTTAATTGAACACTAAGGATAATACTCAGAGGTGGGAAAAACAGTGTTTCACATCATTAGAAATAATGCTGAGATAGAAGTTTCAAGGACAACTGCCCCTAAGACCGCAATTAGCAAAGAGCTCCATCTCTCCTGCATTCAATGTTCCTGAGATAATTGGCTCAGTGGCACAAAATCTGCATCACACACAGGCAATTTTCCTGCATTTTAGCATTCACATATATGGCTAAATATACCCTGAGCCATTCAATATGGCTTGACTTTACACTGATTCTGGTCACACGTCTGCTATGAGAAAACATTTCCACAAATGTATTAAAAATCTAAAAGCTAATTTTCTGATAAAAGATACAAGATCAAATGATCAACCCTAAATACATAATTTCAGTGTGATTTAAGCACCCATTCGACTCAGATTACCATACTATGTTAGAAAAAATATAAACACTCCTTTGTGTTATTCCCAGAACTGTCTCCTACTTTAACTGGCGACATACAGTGTCACAGAGCACGTAAGACCTTAGTTCCGCTTTATACAACAGCTCTTTCATCATCACAACCCCATTTTTGCAATTGAAATGGAAATTTCTATAGGCTGCCCCCCTGAATGCATCTGAATACACTCAATGACAGTGCCTTTCATTAGCTCGATGTCTTTCATGGGTCTCTAGGTCTTTTTTTTTACAATTCATGGAGAATGTTCTCTTCAAACACAGTGAGGACCTTTTGCACAATGTGATCAGAGGAAAGGGATGCTGCAATGTTGATCAAGAGAGACCTCTGGTGCTCCACCGTTGCGCTACAAAGGAACAGTTCTGAAATGAGCCAGTGTTTTAGAATGAGTTTTGGTGTTAAAGAATACACCTCAGTGTCCTTGAATAATCCAAAATGTTGTACAATGAGCATCAATGTTCTTTAATGACCCACTGAAATGACCCACAATGTCCTGCAATTACCCAAATTTAAAACAAGTGTCCACATTCTAGAACAGTGATTTCTAACCAAGAGCATTTGTAACACAGGGAGTTCTGCAGTTAGTAGGGGGTACACTGAAAGGTAAGCTAATTTTAAAAATATAAATTATGATTTGATCAAAAGAATAGGCTATATCAACATACACTGATCGGCCAAACCATTAAAACCACTGACAGATGACATGAATAATACTGACCATCTTGTTACAATGCAATGTTCTGCTGGGAAACTTTTGGTCCTGGCATTCATGTGGATACCACTTGAAGCACTTCACTCTTCAAAACATCATTGCAGACCAAGTCCACTGCTAATGGCAGTAACACTCCCCAATGGCAGTGCCCCCCAATATGATCAAGCATCCGTGAGATGTGCCAGTACCCCACGTCACAACGGACAGGTCTCAAAGGATCCTCTGCCAGCACTCCGGAACCAGACTCCACAGGACACCCCCAGAGGTCCTGTGTCTATGCCTTGACATGTCAGAGCTATGTCTGATCCAAAGAGGCCCCAGCATGGATCAGACATACCTCTGGGGTACTGGCACATCCAATGAATGCTTGATCAAGTTGGGATCTGGGGAACTCGGAGGCCATGTCGGTGTGTTGAGCTCTTTGTCACGTTCTTTGGGCCATTCCTGAACCATTTTTGGCCATGAGGGTGCATGTACTAGGTCCACAACAGTGTTTGGGTGATCGGTGAATTAAGCCAGCTGTAACCTGAACACTACATATTGCAGTTATGTAAGAGTGGGTGAAAACTTTTAGCAAGTAGGCAAAGAATTTTTAACAGGTAGTTGGAAGTAATGAATGGGAAATATAGCTGAATTGACTAATCAGTTCAAATGATTAGTTAAAGGTAATGAATAACTAGTTGAACTAGTTATAAGTAACATTAATGGCTAAGTGG